TACTCTCTTTTGACTGTGGATCTGCAGGGTAAAGAAATAAACAAGTCCTTCCCTCAATAAAACGCAGAATTAACACACAAATCTCAAAGTACATTTAAAACATTATTGACTTACCCACTGTAGCTCTCCTGAGGGTTTTCAAAATACAAGGTCCAGTCTAAAAACTGGAGAGAGCAAGAGCAAGACTAAGTATTACTAATAAATGACTGAGCAGACAGAACCTATTGCCTTTGTCAGCAGACAATGGTTGATTTACACCATGGTTTAACTGCTTACGGAAACAATAAATAGTCCAGATGAAGAGATTTGCAGTTTTCACCCCATAGAAAATCTGGCCTACTCTGGGCCATTTCTAAAGCTATCCAGTGGATTAGTAGGAGTCACTGGAGTAGAAAGCGGTCTTGTTCTGCTGTAGATGAACAGCACTGTTTGGCTCCTCTGCTAAAAATCCTGCACTAGATGATCTGATAGAGTTTACTGCCTGATTTCCTTCGGGCCACATGAGAAGGATGCACATGAAGAACCACATACAGAAAGCATCAATCCCAAGGTCAATCTTCATATGCAAGTGCAATGCAACATCTCTACTGGATACATAACTTTCACTGCTTACATACACACCTCTTTGTAGAGCACTCTTAAAAACACATCCTTTTTCTCCTCTTTCTCTGTAGTGTGGGCACTAACTTGCTTCTGTTTCCTAGTGGCCTTTCCGCCCTGTGTATATGACAGTGGTGTTCAAAGAAGCCTGAAGTCCTGCAGTGACAGGCAACCCAGCAGAAACATCTCATGAGAAGCAGTCCTAGATCCCATCAGGTCAAACGGCTGCTGTGCAGTCACTGTGACTCACATCAGGAAGGAAGAACACTCCAGGGGCAAGAACTTCTTGTGGCGGTTACCCATGTTTTCATGATGCCATCTACAGTAATATCTTGGTTTTCAACAGTGTGAGAAAACAGCCATTTCCTGGGGCAGTTCTCTGTCACAAAGACTTGGAGGGCAAATAGAGACAGAAAAAAAATAGAAGGCAAGAAAACACTAACTTTTTGGTCCTGCTAACTAGAGCAGGTCACATCTTCAAGACCCATTGTAGAGATGAACACTTACTCACTTTATTCAGTTTCAAAATCCTCCATGACACATTGTGCCCACCATACTGTAGCCTGTGCTCTGCAAATCACAACAGCAGCTCTGAACAGCCAAAGCTGCTGGGGACCAGTGCCTTCCTCATGTACAGCTGCAAATAGGTTTAAATCATTAGATTCAGGTTACCAAACAGTCTCTTGGATCAGGGTTAATTAAATGAGTGTTGAAATCTAATTAAAGACTGGTCCAGGTGATAATTAGCAGGAAATGTATGCATTAAAATATTCATTTGTCGATGAGCTGCAATTAAGAGTGTGATTTGGGGAAGGATCAATAACTGCATCATGTGATTTTAAAAAAAAATGAAAAGTTGCTGAGCCTTGAGCAGAAATGCAGGAAATTTTCAGCTAGGTGTTTGGGTTCTTTTTGTTTCCCTCACCCCCCTTCTGTTTTTCTCCTATAATAACTTCTGAAGACTGCTTTCCACCCCTGAATAGAGAATTCATCTCTCCATCCCTTTGTTTTCCTGAAGCACTTCTTTCAGTCCCTTGCTCTTCACCACATTGTTTGAGTGGGTTATAGATTTATTAGAGAGAGACAAACAGGTCAAAAAGATTCTTTGCCAATGAAAATCACTTCCTACCAGAACAGCCTGCTAATCCAGTGGAACATTGTTCATTGTGTAGCCTTAGATTGTTTTGGGGTAGGTTTTTTAAGCAAGTTAATTCCTTAAGTCTTTATTCATAACTGAGGATCTGGAGAGGCTATTGAATATGCATAGCTTGGACTTATATATATGTACATCCATAGCTGTGGTTTACTACACTATTCCAAATCTGTAGCAGTGCAACTCTGCTTTCACCGAGACTTTTTTCTGGTTACAGATACATACGGGTGTGTGTAAGCCAGTTAATAACACTCTCCCCGTGCAATCTCAGTCAGTTTCATCTCTGCTAGAAAAACAAGGGCCCCACAACAGCCCAGCTCCTCTGGCATGGACCTGGTCTTCCTCCACCGCCGCAGCCAGAGGCTGAGCTGGCAATTTCCCCACTGACTGTATTTCCATCAGCGTGTCAAAAGGGATGTGCACCATGGGAGCACAGTAATTTCGGCTGCTCTTTGTCAGTCTCCTGACAGCTCACCTGCCTGTCTCCCCAGGGGCAGTGGCAGGCCCGAGGCAACTGTCTGCCTGCTGTCGGGGCTGCTGCTGGATCCCCCCTCCCTTGCACCCCTCTTCCCTGGGGAGACCAGTCTGTGGGGGATCAGCCAACTCATGGAGCTAGTGCCTTCCTTCCTAAACAGATCTGTTTCTTCCCATCTCAGCCTCCTATCAGAAATTCTAGAGTTGCAGTTACTGACCTTTCATCTCATTTAGGGGAGAAGAGAGATTTCTTTTGTTCCCAAAAGCTCTGTATTTTTCACAGACTTCTGAAGTCTGATGATCATCTGTAGTTCTACATCTGTGTTGACTGCAGACATAACCTAAACATTGTAAAGCTTTCTTGGAAATGTTTAGCATTAAATGTGGGCTCTTTAGTGGTAGCCTCTATTTCTTACTGTTTATGGAAAAGAAACTCAGGTTCATCAGGTACTATTTTTCCTCCTCTACTTTAACAGTGCTGAAGAAATGCTGCTTCATTATGAGACGTACACTCTGTTCACTGTACTGAATCCTGTCTCTGATGCTGGGCGCAGATTTCCCACTGGACATCGGGGTTTCAAGACACAGCAATGTGAAGGGGTGATCCAGCTTAGGGGGTCTGGCATGCACAGAGCTAACATATTCCACCAAAATAAATCAGTTCTCAAATCCTAACACATATATTCAGCAAAAGCTCCTTCATTTTGCTGTACTGAGTCCAGATTCTCTAATGAGGACAACCTGCTGGTCCAGAAGGTTGTCTATATGTTGAATGAATAAGGACACAACTTTTGCAGAGAGAAAACACTAATGACAACCCAGAAGTTCAAATTCTGGAGGAAGCTAGGAACGAGGCTGCTGGCCTCAGTTATTCACCCTCCAGGGTCTTTTTCTTCCTTCCTGATGCTCTCAGCCTCTTGCAAAGGTCTGAGAGGTTGCAGGAAAAACTGAGACCCAGCTGGACCCCATGCCACTAAATCTGTGTAGACATATGGATTGCATGAGCCAGTGGGTACCAAGCTAATTCCCTTGTGTGTCTCTTTTTGTTTCCTGTCCTGCAGGGAGCCTCTTCAAGCCTGGTGGTGAAGTTTGCAGATACGGACAAGGAGCGTACAATGAGGCGCATGCAGCAAATGGCAGGACAAATGGGCATGTTCAACCCCATGGCCATCCAGTTTGGAGCATATGGTGCCTATGCACAGGCAGTAAGTATAGACACTGGCTCTATGCATGTTCACGGGAACAGGAATGGTGAAGCACTGGAACAGGTTGTCCAAGGAAGTCATGAGTGCTCCATCCCTGGCAGTGTTCAAGGCCAGGTTGGACAGGCTTGGAACAACCTGCTCTAGTGGAAGGTGTCCCTGCTCATGGATGATCTTAAGGTCCTTTCCAGCCCAAACCATTCTATTATTCTGTGATTCTATGATTCTATGAATAGCACCTAGAACTGCACAAAAGCACAGGAGCAGAGGAACAACAGAGCAGGCGAGACAAACATTTCTCCTTTAAACTGGTTACATGGTGGGAACAAACTAAGCCACACCATCGAGGATAAAGGAAGGCATCTCGCAGGCAAGTCTCAGAGGTGCAATAGCTATTTCTAAGAGTAACCACCCTGTGACTGTGTGCATCCCTGCACAAGATGCTTCCTATGGGGTATGAGCCATTGCTGTCAAATCCAAACATGGCTAGCCTTTGAGGATTTGGATAAAATGGGCCTGGATTGAACTAATCTTAGTTCTCTGCCCCATGCCAGCACCATCTCATGCCAAAGAAGGCTTGTGAAGACACAGATACGTTTCTGGTCCTCCTCTGCTACCAGGCCACACAGACTGAGCTACATGGGAGAGATGGCTGCTCTCCATTTGGCCAGGTGCCTGCTGCAACATGCATCATTGTAGTTACCTTTGAAGTGGACACAGGATAAAATGACAGCTCTTGCCAGAAGTGTTTTAGATTCATAAAAGTGTGCTAGATAACACTAAAATGGACAAGCAGATATGCACATATACAGTCCTGGCTCCCCAGAACAGTATGCTTTGAGCACACTCAGAAAACACATCAGCACTGTCTAGCTTCGTGTATCCTGCTTGCATATCAAACTTGCACTGTGGGCGCCTGAGAAAATGTGATTGTCCAGGGAGCTGGGCTCTTGATGAAGCTCTGAAATTGATGTTTCTGGCATAACTACCTTTCCTTAAGCTACAGTAAACAGGGACCTGCAAGACAAGATCAGGTTCAAGTAACTTGGTCTCTCTGCCAGGTATTTCAGAGGAAACCAGAGGTGATCTCTGCAAGCAGGCAGACAGAACACTGCCGGGTAACTTTGACTGCCTTCTCTAGAGCAGGTTTGCAGGCAGTGACAGTGCATCATGTGTCGCTCTTGCACTCTGCTAGATTTGTGCGCAGGAGGGAAGTGCCATTAATCCCATTTTCCAGAGTGACACCTTCCTGAATGATAAAGACCACATGCCTTGCCTTAGGGCCAGCCCAGGAATCACTCCAGTGTGTTGTACTCCCTCCAGCGCACTGGCTACAAGGCTTTGCTTTCTTCCTTATGTATTTCTTTCTCATGTGTTGGCACCATAGATTTCCCATCACATCCACATGTTTTGTTTTTAACTTGAGGGCCATGGCTGAGTGTCCTGTGCCTCACTGAACGCTTGGTACAACCCGACTCTTTCATGTGCTGTGTAGATTCATGAAGACATGCCATAGACCTCCACAGAAGTTCCCCCTTTCCTCCTCGCTGCACCTCCTGGTGCTATTCTACACATTTTTTGTTCTTTCACTACTAGATAAATCCTATTTTTCCTTCCTTTTTACCCTCTTAATTTTTGTTCATAGTCAAAGACTTTGTCAGCTGCTCCCCTATTCACATGATAGAAGACCTGTCCCCTTCCCAGCCTGACTGTGTTCTCTTTGCCAGGGAAAGCTGCAGGAAGAGGATAAGAGAGGGTAAATCACAGCTGAGCCCAGGTCAGTGGTCAACAGCCTGGCAGAGGGATGCAGCATCTGTGTCCCCATGTAGCAAAGGAATTAGGAGGATGCAACCAACAGGCAGCTTGGGACAAATATCTACAGACACTGTCAGGCAGGAAATGTGGCTTCAGTGTTACACTGTAGGCAGTGATCAGGCAGCTGGAGGGGCGGTAAGAGCACCACTGTCCCAATGCTCTGGTCCAAAAACTTCTTGCATTATTTTTAATCAAGAGTAGTTCTTCTAATTACCAGCCTAGTGTAATACTGATATAAAAGAGGATGCAATCTGCACCTTTACACCACGGAAGTTCCCTCCATCTATTTCTCACTGAGTAACACAGGACATTATAAGGGTAGGTGCTTGAGTGGTGCTGAAGGAAGAGTGAAAGCAATTCCTGGGTTTGCTTCCACTCCACTGCAATCTAATGAATATTTTTCCTATTAATTGCTGTGAAAGCAGAATTGAACCCATCCTCTTTTTTTTTTTTTTTTTTTTTTTTGTAAATATGCTAATAAGGGGGAAAGAATAAGTTTTAGATCTTGACCCATTAGATATGACAAGCTGGTGACACCAATTACCCGGGGGACTTCAGAGCTGTCTAAATGATGGGATCACATTTCCATGTGGTGCCTGTACACCCAGAGCATGCTTGGATGCTGTCTCTCAATCAGCCTCGCTATCTGCTTCATCTCACAGTCTCACACAAAAGAGAAGGAAGGGAGCGCCGAGGCTCTGTGACGTTCCCTCGGTCCCGATTAATCCACCCCGGACTGCTGGCTCTGAGATATCAGGGTGATTGACACCTCGCAAATGCCAGCAGGAGATGGAGGGATCGATAGGGGGAGAAGGAAAGGGCTGGG